GAATCCTCAAAATAGCGTGACCTATGAAGACGATTGCGAAACTGCGAGGTGTGCTTTGCAGGTTATACACTTTGTGAATCAGTCTGTCTACTTCTTTTTGTTGCAAAACCTAAATCTCCATCACTTGTGTCTGATGAATAGAAGATGTTCTTTGGTTCGTTTAAGAAATTTATCGAAATTGTCTAAAAGGATAAACATTCCTGGGAAGAGGGGGGAGGGTGAGTTTGGGTAAAAGAACAACAAAATGACTGGGACGTCAGCGATTGCAAAATAACAAGATTGGGAAATTTCAACGCTCGTGTAATATTAACTCTGGGAATGGTTTCTAGCTATTTCCACATTTCCTTTAATGTATTTAAGGATGAAGTTAAGTAAGTTACCGGGTGAATGCTTCCTGTCCTAGACCGTGACTGCCCTGAACTGACCATTTAAACCTCTGCTGGCAGAGTTACGATTGAGTGAACATTCATTTGCTCGTAATTAGCACAGCTAAAAACATACGCGGGTATAACTACTAACACTTATTTTGTAGGCTCATAATTAGGTGCCTTCAAATATTCACTCAAAGAGAGTCCAGATTTGGGAAAAATCTAACGGCGGAGGTAATCAATAGATTACTAATCTGTTGGCTAAATCAATCTCCCGAATAAATCATCCCAATCTAACTACACCTGTTTATCATCGGCAAAATATCAGAACAAGTTTGAACAAATATTGCCACAGTTTATTAACATTTCTCTACACCTAAATGAAAAGAGTCTACATAATTTTCAATCTTACCAGCGTGAATCCCTTTAAGGCAAGTAAATAGCAACATGCATGCATTATTTAATGTCGCCCAACATAAACTGGTGCTAATGAATTAAAATATTTTTTGTGGAAGATACGTCCACTAAACGTTGTTCAACTTATAAGTTATACTGCTGGGGCGTTTCTGAGACCAAGGACTTATTTATAACAATGATTGACAACTAATATCACACAATTTACTCGTATTACAAAACAAATCCCGCTATTTGTTTGTTGCCTGCTAAAGAAACTTCGATAAGAATTCGTTAAAAGCGCCAAAGTAATTTTGAGGAACTGATATTTACAACAGCTCAGCCTAAAGTTACTCTGTTGGACTACTTACGTAACAAGTAATGGATCTTCCACTGGCAAAATAAGATACTATAACGGTTTAGGAACCCTGACGTTCGAGGAACACGTAATACATGAGAAGCAGATAATAAAAGAAGTAGCTATGCATTTAATTTTTCAGTCATATTAACCGAGTGAGTTTTCGTAATTTGTATCTTGAGTCTTGTGATAATAAATACCGTATTTATTACATAAATTTTATTTGCCACCAAATAAAAGCGTTTATGGCTTCTACCCACGCTCCTAGAGTTACTTTAAACGCAGTGTTAAATTTTCAACCAAGAGTTTAAGATGATGAGGAAAGGCTGGGAGTACTGAACGGTCGAACTAAATGGGCACGGGGTCATAAAGTACAAACTTGATTGAGCAATAGTCTCAAGACCATCACAAGACAATCTTGTGACTTCGAGAACAATAGCAAATTCATTGGTAATAGTCACGAGTTTCACTGGAAAATAACTTAGCCTCGCTTTCAGCGATCGGTATATGACGTGGCATGTTTCTCGAGTTCGTCCTCTTTGTCTCCAGACCTGACACACGCAGCGAGTTCGACCCTCCTCCTGCCTTCCTCCATCTCTTTTATATTATATGTATTTGTGATTTAGGCCCTTTTCCTTTTTTCTCGCGCTCTCACCTCTGTAAGAGCTTAACAAATTATAATAATTCGTTAATAATGTATTTCATATTAGTTTTAATCAATAAATCGGCCATTCTGCGTGGCCAAAATTTATCCCAACGACGACTTGTCTGGTTTCGATTTCTT